GATCCCACTAACTCGCATGTCTCAGCCCCGTCAAAACTGCCCATGGTTACATCGAAAAGTGAATCGGCTGGTGTTTTCTTTCGCCAAGTTGTATTCCTGTTGAAGAGCAGCGAAAATCTAAATCTACCCGCTCGTTTATCAGCTTCGATATAGTAGATTTCTATCCGTCTATATCAGAAGAGCTCCTGAAAGAATCCCTAGCATTCGCCTCACAATACGACGAAATAACCGAAAATGAGAAAGCCATCATCATGAAAGCTAAGCAATCGCTGCTCTTCAACAGGAATACAACTTGGCGAAAGAAAACACCAGCCGATTCACTTTTCGATGTAACCATGGGCAATTTTGATGTAACCATGGGCAGTTTTGACGGGGCTGAGACATGCGAGTTAGTGGGATCGTATCTTCTTTCACAACTAACGGCAGAGTACGGCAATGATATCGGTCTGTACAGAGATGACGGCCTCGCAGCCTTCGACAAAACACCGCGTGAAATCGAGACCATTAAGAAAAGCATTTGCAAAGTTTTCAGTGACAACAACTTGAAAATAACCATCGAAGCCAACAAAAAATGCGTGAACTATCTAGACATTACACTTGATCTTAGATCGTCATCTTACAAGCCATATATGAAACCCGGAAATACACCGCTATATGTCAACCACAACAGCAACCACCCGCCTACAATACTACGCAGCATACCAGATGCTATTAACAAGAGGCTATCAAACATATCCTCAGATAAGCAATCCTTCCAGTCGGCCGCGCCTCCATATCAGGGAAGCCCTGCGAAAGAGTGGTTTTAACTACGTCCTTAATTACAATCCCCAGCCACCAAAGCCTAAACGTAATAGAAGCAGAAACGTGATATGGTTTAATCCTCCCTACAGCGCCAACGTTGCCACCGACATTGGTCACAAATTTCTGCAGGCTATTGATGAATACTTCCCACCACACCATCCCTTACATAAACTGTTCAATAGGAACAATCTTAAGTTAAGCTACAGCTGTATGCCCAACGTGCACAATATCATCACGGCGCACAACAGAACTGTACTCGATCGCAAGCAGCCCGAGGCTACTAAAAATCCCGATAGGAAGTGTAATTGCCGTCAGGAAGAATCCTGCCCCCTCCCTGGCAAATGTTTAACCGAAAGCGTTGTATACCAAGCCACAGTAACGAGAAAAGACAACCAACAGAAAGAAACCTACGTTGGACACACAGCGGGCCCATTTAAAGTGAGATACTACAACCATACAAGCTCGTTCAGGAACCCGGATCATAAACATTCAACTGAACTGAGTAAATATATTTGGCAGTTGAAACAGTCCAACATAGAATACTCTATTCGTTGGAAAATTTTAAAGAAATGTAAGGCCTACTCAAACAAAACAAAACGTTGTAAATTATGCCTGCACGAAAAGTTCGTTATAATTTACTATCCCGAACTTAGCTCATTGAACTCAAGAAACGAACTAATATCGGCATGTAGGCACAGGGAAAAATTCCTGCTCTGTAGCCAGTAGTCAGATTACAAACATATATTTACGCTTTCCTAATGACGTCAAACATTTGTATATAACAACTCAAGTTACCTATAGGTTATAACATCATGTAAATACGCGATATCACCATTCACCTGATGAGTGTGGCAAGCCTAGCTTGCCATACGAAACAAATTTGTTGTGAATAAATGTTTTAAACGAAGTAACTCAAGCTTGTTATATATATATATATATATATATATATATATATATATATATATATATATAAAATTTGCGAACTTCACAGGTCTATATGTTCTTCATTTTACAACATTCAGCAACCATGCAATCTTTGCAGTTTTACTCATTCTAAGACGGTCTTTCTAGCTGTGCAGGTGTTGGATTTATTCTTCTTGCCTTGATCAAAATTTAGTCAAAATCACCCATTTGAAAAGAAATTAAAAACTCTTTGAAATTCTTTGAAATTGATGAATCCTTGTTCGAAAACCTCCTCAACTATGAAGTCGGTTATAAACCTCGAACTTGGGATATACAAGTCATGTATTTGCCCTCGGGGTCTGCGGCCCCTCGGGTCAGTATATGACTTATATTATATATTATTAATAATATATTATATGTATACACTATTTACAACATGAGCAGCGTGTTGTATCGGACGCGAATATAGATCGCTTGTGAAACGTCTTGCACGTGATAAGGGCATTCGTATTCTTCAACAATAAAAAAAACGAATGATATGACTTTGTATAAGATATACAAACTCTTTCACGGTCATGATTCCTTTTTCCTTTTGTGTTTTCTTCATGAATTATTAATGATTTCACAATACAATATATTACTTATATATACATACATATACATACATACTTTATTTAGCGACGCTAGCCCCGACAACTACAAAAGTTGATTTCCACGGGAGTCGTCGATAGAAAAAATATTACAAAGAATATAAAAAGGAAGGAAACTAAGTCTATACTACAATATGTACATTAATTATCAAAAGCTACGGTATAAACCACGACGGAGTGTCCCAGAATAAATATATGATTAAATGAATCCAGACTCGGTTATTAACATCAAAAATTTTGTTTTATACATATTTTAAATATACTAAATTGATTGAGCTTGCTTAGCTTCAAGCGGAACGTTATTCCAAAGATAAGCACCGCTATATAGGATTTAAATTAGCATTAATTTCCACACAGTCTTTCGCAGATGAAAATATCTGTGAATCGTCAGCGTATAAGCATGAGGTTGACTTCTCAAGACAATCAGGTAAATCATTAATATACAATAAGAACAATAAGGGGCCCAATATAGATCCTTGAGGGACCCCACAAACAATCCTTTTTGGTGCTGACATTCCGCCATTAACAAATGTCACTTGTTCCCTATCAAAAAGATAGGATTCAAAATGTTTTAATTCAATATTTGAAATCCTAAATTGTTCTTTCATTTTGCGCAAAAGAATATTATGATTAATAGAGTCAAAAGCTTTTCGAATATCTATAAAAACGACACAATTTAATTCACCATTATCCATATTCTCATACCATGCATCGCACATCTGAATGAGTGCTGCCCGAGTAGAATATTTTGGGCGAAACCCAAATTGATGTTTAGAAAGTAGATTATTAGCGTTGAGAAATTCATACAATTGATTGAAAACGGATCTTTCGAAAATTTTACTAATAATCGGTAAGATAGTTGGGGGATAATTTTCACATTTTTTCCTATCTTCAGATTTAAAGATAGGTACAACCCAAGCCTTCTTCCAATCATCTATGTAGACCAGGGGCGCACATTCCAAAAATTTCTGGGGGGGTGTCAAATTTTTTGGGACCGACTTTTATGGCTCAGTATGCTAATAATAATAATAATAAAATCTTTATTTAAACTGCATAATTGTGTCAGCTGATAACACAATGATCGCTGGTATTAATACAGGTGCAGAAATTTTCCTGGTTCCTACCTGCCTGGCTCCATCTACTGCGGCCAGTTTACTGTTTAAAAACTACAATCTAAAAACGATTAATTAATAAACGCATTGGAGATTGCTCCAATTTGTACAGGCAATCAAAAAAGACACATTAAGAAGATTCCGGGAATATAGACTATGCCATTTTTGAGGCATTTTTATTTTTGTATACCTTATAAGATAAAAACCTTACTATAAGTTCAAACCATTTAGCCGTTTTAGCAGAATTAGTGAACTACAGTGGTTTCCTGGTTTTTAATTCTAAAATTTCATTGAAGAAACGCTTCCTATATTGGTAATATTATCCAACACTTATCAAACGTCGTGTTTTTGCTCAACGATCCACAATTTTATCCAGATTAATCGAGTCTGTAATGTCAGTGTTTCGCGGCATCCAAGCATCATCAAACTTTTAAGTCTCTCTTTTAAATTTAAGTCTTATCCTTACGGCAGGATCAAATTTCTGCCTGATTCTGTAAATCAAATTTTTGTATAGATTGTACAACATGATAACATCTACCTTACTACCTACTTATATTCTATCTATCAATAGCTAGCTACATGACACAAACCTTAGGTTTCACATATTTTACGGCATTGTCTGCTGCCTACAAGACACTATGAGTATATGTCCGCATGCACATATAACCTCAACCACAACAAGCGAATGACAGATATACGAAATTACCCGAAATACACAGACACAGTGAACAACATGGACCACCTGAATTGTGGGTTATGCCAATACACTGAAACATTGTAACAACCACAATGCGAATAGCAACTAGCTTTTGTAACCAAAAAGAGAACGACATTGTTGTTCTCTTTATAGGGGCGACAAGAGTTAGTTGTTATTTTACATTTCTGTTCTTGTTTAAAATACGTAAATGGAAAGTCCTCAAATGTATTTATAAGGTACAGAATACAGGGTTAAATAACAGTTTCGCAAAGTTTCGTATAAAAGGAAATAAATAAAAGTTTCGCAAAGTTTCGTAAAATCGCAACCGTTTGGTCAAAACTAAACAAAGTAAGCGCAAGGCTAGTTCAGCATAGCCTCCCCTCTTTCGAAATCTCCTACGGAGAATTATCATCTGATTATACGAGTGAATTTCAATGAATGCGGGTGAATAAATTAAGCGCCATTTTTTATGTGGGTGATGATTCAAATGCAGGTATCACCCGCTCACGACATTGTGGGTGAGTTCACATATTTGTATACATTGTTTCACAGCATGGTTCACTTTCCAGACACTGTGAGGGTATAAGAAAACCGTTGACTAAATAGAGGTACAGAAAATTACACAACACAATTAAAATCACACGCGACAATCCTATATTAAGGGATATAAGCGCCAAAAATACACTCTGCTCCAGTCTGTTGCTCGGAATATTACCAGAGCCAGCCCGGGTTGAAAATTGCTGACCCGGGTCGGCAATAATTTTCGTCAACCCGGGTTCATGTAAACCGAATAAAAAATAACCACCTGTGGCAAGCTGACCCGGGTTGAAAATCATTCCGGATTCGTGTAAAGGGGCCTAAGTAAGCCACAAACGAGAGGTCCGAGACGCATGTAGAGGTCCAATTACCTATCCTTAAATTAAAATATGGTGAATTCAGCATAAATATACGGAACATACCTAAAATGAATTTCAGAACCGCTGACGCTTGAAATCTCAGTTTTACTAGTCTTCTTAGACCTTAATGCCAACCATACAGTATTTTCTTGAATTTACAATCCAGTATTTTCTTGATTTTACAAACGACTGTGTGTTTGATGTGCCATGCAGCCGCGCGGGGGTCAGACATACGAGACATTGTTAAAAGATAATGTCAAGTCTGTCTCAAAGCACTTTGCAGCCGGAAAATGCGGGTCAAATTTCAAAATACACTGTTTGCCTCGCTGTTTGCCTCTGAAACTCGCTATTTTATTTACCAATGCAGTTATATTTAAACGTATATCTGGTATATCGGCTATTCGGAGACCGAACCTGGGACCGAACTGGCTATCTAATATGCATTTCTCAGGAC